ACCTCGAAAAATCATATTTTTTTCACAAAATGGTTCATAAACGTCCTAAAGCTCTCGTCATTTTTTCTTATAATAGAAGATGGATGGATATTCATCTTTACCAAGAAATTGTACGATAATAAACTAATCATACTCATTTGCTGATATTATATGGTAGCTTGTCTTAAGTATAACGTAAGAGGTAAATATCAAAACGATATATATTTTAATTGATTGATTGAGAATTGTGAAAAGGGATTTTCTTGCATTATCTACTTGATTTTTCCCTTCTTTTTTTTTATAATTTTGTTTCTGTGAATTTGTATGTAGTAACGCACACTCATTTCTTTTTATAAAAACTGTAATTTAAATTAACTTGCATTATCATTATGTGAAAGTAATGACGGAAGATCATGATATTTGACGTTGTGCTTTAAAAGTATAAGCTTTTCCTTGAAGATGTGTCATTTGTTTGTTAAACATAAAATCAAAAGATACAAAAGCAATATATCACTAAGAGTTATATTTTTGCGAAAATTCTTTAGTTTTTTTCTAACTAACAAGAAATAACTCGTATTCCTCTTGCCTTTGCAACAAAATGTACGTCACCTGCTCGTATTGAAATATTGTAGCATTTAAATAGATGCATCCTACAGGAATAGTTTTCAACTTATAAATATATAATGTCGATAGCATACAAAGATTTTCTCATAAATTAATGTAGGAAAGATTACAAATAGTGTAAAAGACAGTATTTGCTACAATATGAATCAGATTCGCAATTTACTGCACTAAATTTACCTTCAATCTACACTCTTTGACAGACCTAATCACGAAGGCACATACATCTCCTCAAAACATCCTTGAAATCTGATGCAAAGAGAAAATATACGTCTCTCTCAAACTTTATAATAGAAGAGAAACTATAGATCGCATACTTGTGGAAAGAACGGGCGAGATCAAATCCCGAAGTCCATATTATACTTATTATGGTTAATGCAGTTGACCATTGCTCAACAGAAGGAATATTATTTTTAATTTGAGTTGATTTTCGAATCACATTTATTATACAATTTTCTATATGGAAGTTCAGCAATAAAAAATTATTTTGTAATTTAAGATCTAAATAATTTAATTACAATTTTGTCCAATGAAAAATGTACCTTAAAACGGTAAAAAAAACTAACGACACTTCACTAAGAACTTTCGTGCTTTTATGATATATATATTAAAGGTACGAAGGCCCTTAAGGAAATATCGTTTACTTTTTTTGCCCATTAAAAATTACGCTCTAAGTTGGATAGAATTATTCTAACAAGTTTGACGAATAAAATTAAAAGGGAGGTAGTGGAGTTCAGTGGAATACATATTAAAAGGTCACCTAATTTATTTGTTGGTAAATTTCTGACTGAAAACAAAATAGTAAAAAGAAATATTAATACATCTACCGATGATCGAAAGTTAACTATATAGGATCAACAATATTATATTTATGCAATTTTTAAAAAGAAGTGCACGCGTAACGTGTGTCGTTCGCCTTTTTTAATCTTTAAAAGTATATTTTATATTGGACAGAATGATAATTTTAATTATTTTCCTAATATGTAGGAATAGTTATTAATTATTTTTCTAATATTTAGGGATAATCATTAAATTAATAGCTAATATTAGGACTTTGATATGGAAAATATATAATTATCTTTTTCTTGTAAAACTTTTTGTGTAAGAGTCCTCGACGAGCTTTTTTTTTTTTTTTTTTTTTAAAAAGTTTTAAGTTT